TTCATTGAGGGCTGCATCAGGGTTGTGTTTGGCTTCGAGGGCTGGTGGGCGTGGCCAGGGTGGTCATGACCAGCTCGACGTCATTCATATCGGGGGCGTTTGTGATGGGCTGAGTGCTCTGCTAGTGAAAATGGAGCTTGGGAGGGCCACGTATTTTCGCTGGCCGAGGGCTGCAGGAGGCCATCACAGAGATTTTCTAGAAATTTATATTCTGAATGCCAGAGATTGATTTTTGACACAGAGATGTGTGCTATCCCTGAGCTATGGCGTGTCTGTAGATCCTAAAATAAGTGTTAATTAACTTTTATATAAATGTGGTCGTCTGAAAAAAAATGGAGAGATAAGGAAGAATTTACTCCCAGTTCAACTAGCTTACACCAATATGACTTTACAGCCCTGTTTATTAATTAAAATCTGTGGAAAAAGGGTAACTTTCTGATCAGATTAAAAAATGTTAATTTGAAGCATTGCATTATTCTTTAGAGGATCCAATTTTGAATCCGCCCTTCTCTTTGCCCTCCTTAATTCTTGGACACATGCTGGTATTGATAAATGTCACCATCTTATTAGCTCAAGGAATCTGGTGTGCATGCATGATTAGCAGGGCAAACTGTGATCCTACTCAATTCTGAATGTTACTTCTCCATGAATAGATAATGTAATTGATGCCGTGCCCCAAGGCCACAAATGGCCAGCTGCTTCAATGGAATGCCTTCTGTGTTAAAATTCATGTACTATAGTGCCTGCTTTGCAACTGGTACACCTGCGAATATGAATCACTAGGAGAATGACAAATATAGTAGAATAACAGAATAACAGAGTTGGAAGGGACCTTGGAGGTCTTCTACTCCAACCTCCTGCTCTGGCAGGAAACCCTATACCATTTCAGACAAATGGTTGTATATCCTCTTCTTAAAAGCTTCCAGTGTTGGAGCACTCACAAGTTCTGGAGCCAAGTTGTTCCACTGATTGATTTAACTGTCAGGAAACTTCTGCTTAATTCTAAATTGGTTTTCTCCTTGATTAGTTTCCATCCATTGCCTCTCGTCCTGCCTTCAGATGCTTTGGAGAATAGATTGACACCCTTTGTGGCAGTCCCATAAATATTAGAACATTTCTATCATGTCACCCCTAGTCCTTCTTTTCATTTGGCATACCCAATTCCAGCAACTGTTCTTAATCTGTTTTGGTATAAAACTGCCTATGCTTAAAATAGGGACTCGGTTTGATAAAATGGTCATTGAACATAACAAAAACAGCTACAACATCTAACAGATTGCCTTTAATAATAATTGTAATTGTAGCTCTCTCTCTCTCTCTCTTACTTGATCTCTCTATCTCTCTGCAAACATAGCACATCATCACTTTTGTATTAGCATGATCTATGAACTGAAATTGTGAACATGTAAATTGTGTTGCTTTAACTTAACTACCCAAACTGGCTTCTAAAGACTTTTTTTACTTTTACCTTTTTTTACATCTTCTAAAATTACCCCCTACTTAGTTAATAATTGATAGCTAGGTTGGGGTAGAGGTTGAGATGGTTCTAATAATTAGACTACTATTATGCATGTTTGCTACCTTACTTAGAAAATAATAAAGGCAGGATTTAAAAAAAAATCTAACAAACACATAAATAAATAAAAGGCTGTCAATTTTCTGTTCTCCATCTATGAAGAGAATTGTTTGGTTGCCAGTAAATGGAGAGATGTTGATTGAAAACTGGATCCAAAAATGGATAACCAACCATTGTTTAATTCTTTACTCATCTACATTACTTTCTGGAAAATCCTAGATATAAATTTATTTATTTATTTATT